GGGCTAGGTGTAATTTCCTCAAATATAAATACATAGTCCAGGTTGAGGGTTTCATGAGAGTTGTCTTTATTCTTTGCTTAGATCTGGACAACTGTGATATGCTTAGATCATGTAGATTAAATTTGAAATCGTCATAATATATCATAATCGCAAAGATATTACTTCTATATATATTCTATCAAAACACGAAGGTTATAAGGTATTTGGGTATTGAAAACTGTTTGTATAATGTTGTGCATGTTTAAATAAATATTCAACAAGATGGCCCTTATGCAAATAAACTTTGGGCGTATTTAGTAGGCATATGCCACATCAGAGTCTCTTTGGACATGAATCATTACCTTCGATAACATTGACAATTTTATTTTTATTTTTTGAACTTACAGGCCAATATTTGGAAAAAAACATTTTATTTTTATTTTATTTTTTAAATTTCTTCAGCGGGGAAGAGGGAACGAGAACTGGATTGTTAATGAACGACAAAATATTCGTATAGGAGCTGAATTCAAATTTATCAACAAAAAAGATTTAGAGCATTTTTGTTAAGCTTATCATTTCCAAGTGAAGATCAACTCCATTTCTACTACAGATTCAACCTTCGAAAAAGAACAAATTCTTCGGAAAAAGGTTCAAAAATATTTCCAGCCTTCTTCTTGACAAGTACACTCCAAACGAATACAGTCTGAACAAGAACAACTCCTGAGCATGAAATTATACATATTATATCCTGGGGGCTGGGATTACAGGGATATCCAATTTCAGCTATTCTCATACCCTTGAATCCGCAAATACCTTCCGAGGATTAAAAAAATATCTGATCCTATATACATTTGTAATCGTGACAATGGTATTATTGAAACTTGCTTGAACAATAATAATCCCCTTGTCCTTTTTTTTTTTTTCCTTTCCTTCCATTCTGTAAAAAGCTCGAACGTGGTAATGTAATACCGTTCCTAGAAGAAAGAAGCAATAGACTTATTTGTCAACTAAAAATATTAACACAGTCACTTCGGGGCAATAGGGACCAGTGGCCAATCCCTCCCTCACTTTCTTGCTATCTGTTGAAAATAAGGAAGGAAGCGATATTGAAACCTACTATACTTGTAGGGAAGAAAATGATAGATTCA